TTCCTATCACTTCTAAAACTTTACCTACTTCTATGGCACTTATTATTTTAAGCCTTATATTATGATCATGCACATATTTATAGTACAAGCCCATTGAGGATGCAGTTCCCACCAATTCATTTCTGTGTTCCTCCATCTTCCTTCTAGCACCATTCCTTACCTATGATTGGTGTTCAGTAAATATTTTTTGAATGTTTGAATGGAGACCCATTGATTTAACATTTTCTTTTTAAAAATTTTATGTCTATGAGTGTTATACCTTGTATGTGTGTAAGTGCATCTGTGTTGTGCTGTGTCCACAGAGGACAGAAGAGGGTAATTTTATGTCTATGAGTGTTATACCTTGTATGTGTGTAAGTGCATCTGTGTCGTGCTGTGTCCACAGAGGACAGAAGAGGGCGTCGGATTCCCTGGAACTGGAGCCATGGATGGTTGTTAGTCACCATGTGGGTGCTGGGATTCAAACTCAGGTCTTCTACAAGAACAGCCCTTACCCTTAACTGCTGAGTCATCTCTCCAGCCCCAATTTAACATTTTCTTTATGGTTGTTTTTCCTCTTGATGCTCATGATTCAACACTAACATAAAGGGAATCTAATTCTGGAGTTTTTTTTTTTTTTTTTTTCAGGATTTACATTGTATTCTAAACAGAACTCTCAAGCTTCTATCTTTCTATAGACAGTCTCATTGTCCCCCTTCCCATCCTTAGCAACTTTCTATTTAAGAAAATTTTCATCTTCAGTGGAAGGGTAGAAAAAGATAGTCTTCTTATGGCCATCTTAACACAGGCTTCATATCTATCTGAAGTGTAGCTTTGCCATCTTCTGTTCCAGTTTAATTGCACAGCACAATTGGAACTAGCATTCATGAACATAAAATCTATAAGATCAATTTTAGATGAGGCAGATATTCAGTAATGTTGAAACTGAAGGGGTGAAATATGTAGCATCACTGAAAAAAGGTCATTTTCTTGATCACCTGTTGGTGCTGTGTTATATGCTATTAATGCAAATACAAAAAGTGGTCCATTCTAGGAGTTCTGGGTCATATGATGAGCGTATGATGAGCTCAATTTTATAGAGAGTGATTTTCACGATGCTAGAGGCAGATACAGGGTGATACAGAGCACAGAGGCTTTTAAATAAAGTTCTTTTTACAGTAGTGCTCATATAGGTATCAATAATTTAAGTATTGTTTGATTTTTATTAAAAAGGACTGACATCATTTTTATTACATTTATTTATTTATTTAGGGAAAGGATACGTGTTCCATGACACATACGCACATGGAAGTCAGAGAACAACTTGCAGGAGTTGGTTCTCTCCTTATATCATGTGGGCCCAGGGATTAAGCTCTGGTCACTGTAAGCACCTTTACCGGCTGAGTCACTTTGCTGGCCTGGCATCATCAATATTCACCTTGAGTAGGATCTCATCATCCATGTCAGGAGCTAGGGCATGATTCAGTTAAGCAGCCATGCTGGGTTAACCAAGACCTAGGCATAGAAATTTGTACTTTAGGGCTCATGGGAATGAATTGTTCACAGAGACACCAACAAAGGGGCAGTTTTCTTATGATTCATTGGGCTGAGGCTTCATGCCAATGGTATTTTGCTGTGGTGATTTTACATTCTTCTCTGTCTATAGCTCCAGCATTTCTAAAGGCATTAGCATAATTAGCCCAGCTGTATAGATGACTCATTGGAATGTGTTCTCTAAGTCTGTGACGGGGTGGGGGTGGGGGTTATGAGGCAAGGCAAAAAAATAATCTTAATCTTAAACCATGAATGGCCAAAACCCACAGCTGTAAACACTGAGTATTTACATGGCCCATTCTTCAGTTTCTTTCTTTTTTGTTTGGGGGCACTCTCCTGCTCTTAGAAACTCTTTCAGAAGGATGGGTAGAGTGACCTGAGTCAGAAACAGGAAGAGGGGAATTTAAAATCCACTTCAAATTTCTCCTTGCTGGTGGCTCAGTGAAAGACTTGGATGGGGGTGGGGGGAAGTTAGGGTTGTTGGTGTACTACCGCCCTTGATTCTTGTGATTCACAGCTGAAAGAAGGCTAGGCTTGGAGTAATGATGATTATGAAATGGTGGCCACAGTTATTTAATAAATATGTGCTCTACTACGAGCCATCGGCTTAGACATATGGGATGAAAATGGACCGAAAGCAAAGCAAAAACCTTGCCCACTGGAGTTTAAACTCCAGGAGAAACTGCTTGCAGGTTTGACGCGTTCTTTTTCACGAGGTCTTAGTCATGAGAGACTTAATCTGTATCAAGTCCCAGCTTCGATGTGGAGGTCACAAAACTTTATTTCTTCCAAAGCTTGCAGACTGATACCCACTTTAAATGCTTATGCATGCGAACAGCGCAGTGGACTCTTTCTGTGTTGTGTGCTGAAGGGAGCGTGTAGAGTGGGCAGGAATCCTACAACAGTACTGACCCCTGATCCTTTCCCGCTGGGGGAAATGCAGGGGCGAGCACAGGCGTCACTCTCTATTCTGGCTGTTTGACTCTTCACTTCGCTGCCTCCTCCCTCCTTTCCTAAATCTCTCCTTTTTGTAACCTCCCTTTTCTCTGGTCCCTCCCTATCCCCTTCCTTCAAACAATTTTTATCTCCTCCTCGAGCTCCCTTCTCCCTCTAGTCTCTTTCGCTCTCATCTCCTTTCCCGCCTCCATTCCCTCAGCCGAGTCTGCGTCAGGGCCCCCACTAGCGTGACGCGCGGGGGCTGGGTGGGAGCTGTCCACTCGCCCCGGTGCTGAATGTAGCCGCGGCGGCTACGGCCGCCGGGTGGAAATAGCTGGGAGCTTTCTCCGCCGCTAGAGCCTTGTTTCCAGAGCTCGGACCGTTGGCCTGCCGCCCCGGCACCTCCCTTCCAGCACCACCCCTTTGGGAACCGAGCCAGGGGGGCGGCAGTCGCCGCGGCGGGTGCTGAGCAACGGCGGAAGACAACACCTGGCAGCAGCCTGGACTCTGATTCCTTTTCGGCTTTCCTAAGAGATATATTTATATACGGGTCTGGGGAGTCTCGAGGACCCAGCTGGAGCCAAGTGCCGGCTGCCTACCCACCTCGGCCACACCGCTTCGCTCCCCACTCCCCACCTTCAGCTGGCACCGCAAGCAAGCCTTACCTCGTTGCGAGGAGAGGTAGCAACAGTGAGCCCAGCCAGCCAGAGGCAGCCGGAGGAGGGAGGGGCGGGTGGAGGCAGAGAGCCGGCCGAGGCCGCCCTAGCTGAGGGGAGCGGGGGCAGAGCTGCCGACAGGACCTGGCAGTCACCCTCCTCCACCTCTACCCGCCAGAACTCTTTCCTGATTTTCTGAAAGCTGTATTATTCCATTAGTATTGTTTTATTTTTCATTGCCCCCACCACCACTCCCTCACCTCCCCCACCCTCACGCCTGCCTAGTCTCTGGTTGCATGGCAGCACTGCCCCGGAGCGGGGGCTCAAGGCCAGCCCCCCGGGAACGAAGAGGAGGTGGAGGATCATGAAGCCTGGAGTCGCGAACGCGCTGGACCGCGGGCAGCAGCCAGAGGACCAGCCGGAGCAGCCCCCGCCCGGGAGACACCAGGACGCGGACCAGCAGTCGCTCCTACTGCCACAGCAGCAGCGGCGGGCGCAGGCAGACCCGGAGCAGCAGGAGGAGGACGACAACGACCAGGAGGAGGAGGAGGAGGAGGAGGAGGGGGAGGAGGAGGAGGAGGAGAAGGCGAGGCCACCCTCCAGCCAGGACCTGCCCGTCTTCCAGCTCTTGCACCTCGCCCGAAGGGACCTTTGATGGAACCAAGGGGAGGGACCTCGGATTTACAGCCTGCAGCTGGAGTGGGCTGGGGGCTGAGATCATGTAACTACTCCTTTCTCCTGTTCCCTCCCACACGCCCTTCTTCTCTACCCACTTTCTCTGCTCCGACACCTTCCCACCCCCATACACATACCCTTTCTCTAGCCAGGACTTTATGCTTTGGAAGGAAGCGACTCTGCGAGGGTTAAGGATCTCTTTTTGACCCATCCTTTCCCAGTCCGACGCCCTATATCCCACTTCTTCTGTGTAGCCTTTGGGCTGCATAGGTAAGCACAAGCCCTTTGCCCAATTTCACCTGCAACCTCTTCCCCATCCACTCAATTGCTCTCTTAAAAGCCACGCTGGTGCTTCTGGGGGTTAAATGCCCCAGTTTTCTGCCTAAAGGAATTAGAACTTCTCCCAACCTTCCCTCCTCCCCCACCTTGCCTTCCTCCAACCAGTCTCCTACTACCTGAGGAAGCCTATCTTTTCTCTCTCACCTACAATCCTCAATTCTTTACCGTACTGCTTTTCCCTGAGCCCAGCTCGAGCAGCTCCAAAATTGATTTATAATCTTTTCCACCCTTTTTTATGAAAGAGATTTACCACAGCCTAGGGCTTTGAGAAAGAGCCTTTCCTGGGGAACTTTTAACACTTAGACATTGATCATAAGGCTCTACCAGCCCAGCCTTGGTAATGCTCCTGCTATTGCCCTGCTCCTACAAGTGGCCTGAGGTCAAATACAGAAAGGAGACACCTTGAGCTAAGTCTGAGTTGGGGTGGGGCTGTCAGGGCAAGACAAACTTTTTTACTTTGCATTTTCTAGGTAGCATTCAGAATCATTGACTCACAGTTGTCAGTCCTGGGAGCAATTTATTTGCTGCGAGGGGCTGCAAGAAGAGCCAGTGAGAAAGGAGATTCTTCCCTAACACAGAAACACTGTGGACCCCTAGCCCCACCCTATTTACTTCTTCAAAGACTCCAACTGGCCCTCCTTGGGTTCTCTGCTTCCCATCACATGCTGATGCCCCTGGGTGGGCTGCTGTGGTGGTGGTGCTGCTGTTGTGGCTGGTACTGCTGTGAACTGTTCGCCCCAGTTCCCCAGATGTTGCGCCACCAAGGTCTCCTCAAGTGCCGCTGCCGAATGCTCTTCAATGACCTGAAGGTTTTCCTACTGCGGCGCCCCCCTCCAGCGCCCCTGCCCATGCACGGTGACCCTCAGCTCCCTGGTTTGGCAGCCAACAACAACACCCTTCCGGCTCTGGGTGCCGGGGGGTGGGCAGGTTGGCGGGGTCCCCGAGAAGTGGTAGGTAGGGAGACCCCTCCTCTGCCACCTCTACCACCTTTGCCACCTTCTTCTGTGGAAGATGACTGGGGTGGCCCAGCCACTGAGCCACCTGCCTCGCTGCTCAGCAGTGCCTCCTCTGATGACTTCTGTAAGAAGGCTGAAGACTGCTACTCCCTGGCCAGTAGCTTGGACAGTGGTATGAGGACTCCGCTCTGCCGCATCTGTTTCCAGGGACCAGAACAGGTGAGTCCCTTTTCCCTTCTGCTTCCTTGTGGTATCTCTATGTCTTACAGATTATTACTTGCCTGCTTGCCCTAGGGAACCATTATGCTGTGGTTACTGTCAAGGACTGTAAGTTTTCAGAACTCTTCAATGATGTTTCTTGTGGTGAAGTTTGACCAATGGGTGTCTGTCACCGGAGGGAACCTGTTTGGTAGCTCAGTTGTACTTTAGATTTTTATATTTTCCAGATGATAGTCTCTTCAGTTCTATCCAGAAACTTACATAGATACCTCAGAAGTTTCAGAAGCAATGAATGAGGAGACGTAGAGGTACATTCATGCCTATTGCCAAGATATACTTTTAGTTGGCTTCTTATTAGTAAACATTTTCCCAGTCCATCTTCAGCTCTACATTCAAACTTCTCTTCCTGAAATTGTGTCAAAATCTTGTTCTCCTTCCTTATCCTCATAGGTTGAAATACAATAAGCCTGTTTTTCCACCTTGAAGCTACCTCGGTTTGCCAAGATACTCCTTGGCAGTCTGACATTTTCCTATGTTGAAAGCTGGTAGTCCAAATGAGAGTGGGCTTAAGGGATATTGAGAAAGAATAAGGAATCTTGCCAGGTCTATTGGCCTTCCCTTAAATTTTCCCTACCCATGGCAAGGAGCAGAGCCTTTTCAAGTCAGGTAGATTCACCCAAACCTATCCATTCATAGTTCCACAGATACCTCTGTCCCTACTGCACTTACAATCCACTGCCTGCAGCACTGGATAGCACGTGCTAATTCTTCAACAATCCCAAATTTTGAAGAAAACGCTTTCCAAAGAGTTCCAGTTAGAAAAGGCTCACCTGAAAATCAGATCTTGTTAGTGATGTAGGGAAGGAAACATTCAATTGGCATGTAGGCAGAGTTCTGTGTTCACATCAGTGACTTCTTCAACAACTTCTTCAAGTAGAGAGAAGATTCTGGGTGCTCCTTGAACAGGTGGCAGTGCAGTAGGAAGCCATGCTGGTGCTTCTGACCAGCCCTGTTCTCACTTTCTCTGTGAGATGTAGGCATAGCTGATAGTTTTCATTTTCCCCCTCTTATCTGTGAATGGCAAGCACTCAGGGTCTCGTGATGCCTGGGGCTATAGCCTGGGTGTTATGAGAGGAGTGAATAAATGTCTCTGAGACTGAAGGTTGGGTTCCTCCTTCTTAGGACTACAATCACCTGAAGCAGCTAATGAAATAGTACCCAGAATTGGAAACTCCTGGTGGGCGAGGAGGTCCAGGTTGGGTGCTCAGTGCCTTTCTTCGAGTCCTTTGCTCCTCTGCCAATGCTGTAGAAAGTGATGGTGGCAAATATAAAGAATGATCCTCCCTTTGGGGTGCTCTAGGTCAGGATTTGCCCCAAACAGGAAAACTCAGCTTTTCTAAAACAAAGAGTGATTTAGCATCTTAACCTTTCAAACTATTCCTTTTTTCTCCTACATCGGCTGGCTCATGTGTGCATATCACAGGGGCTGCAGGGAATGTACCTTCTGGCAGGAGCACTCTTCTCTCTAGAAAAATAGTAGGACTTGGAATGTGTGCTGGAATAATATTTCCCCTGCCGTGTGAACTTCTTCAAATAACTTTATGCCCCCAGGCCTCTTTTCCAACTATGAGATACCATTTTCTGTCCTTATCCTTTCTTTATAAGAGATCTCAGAACTGTGAAAATACCTTGCAAGAGATTAACATATAGTCAATATGTATTTTGATCATGGGAAAGATGTATTTTATTGGGAAAAGAAAAAGAAAGGAATCGTTAGCAATATCATCAAATGCCCTCTTGTGGTATAAAATCTGATCAAGGGTTAAAGCTTTCCCTTTTTAAAAAATCATTATTTTTGCTATATGCCATAAATGAAGCTTTGAATAAAAAAAAACCTAAGACCAATAGAGGAATGGGTTCTTCTATTATGTGGGAGAGGCAGGCTGTGTCTGCACTGAGACCAAATCGAACACTCCTTCTATATGATTATTATGTTGGGGGGCTGCTTTGTATAGGAGCCAAGTGGTTTTAGTGGGATTGGGTTACAATGGTAATAGGAAAAATGTGAGTACTATGTTGGACATGGAGAACGTGGTTTCCCACTTTCTTCTCACTTCACAGAATTTCATTGAGGAAGGAAGACAAAGGAAAGGAGATGGGGGAAACTCTAGGGAAAGATGAGCTAGAGAAGGGAAGAGAGAGGGAAAAGGAGAGGTGGTCAGGTGGGGATTTCTGCATCTCAGTGTCGGTTCAGAAAGAGGAGAGCTGTCCAGCAATTGGGTATACCTGTTCCTGGAGAGGAGTGATCTGATCCATGTAGCTGAATGTCTTTATCCTCTCCCCGTCCAAACAAAGGAGCTAAAACTTCCCCTCCCACTTACCATCCCATGATTTTCCACTACTCTCGGTGCCAAAAGACTGACAAAAATAATTTAATCCTCTCTTGCAAGGGGCTTGTAGTAATGCAATGAAGGGCAACAGGAAGATTCAGCTAGGTTCACATTTGCAGGTTTCCACAAAGGACTTTGCATCCACCCATTCATTCATGCATTTCTTTAACAAATGTTTAGTAGGAAGCCACGCTGTACCAGATGCTGTTCCCAGCACTAAGCATCCAGGAATGAACAAAGCAGATGAGATCTCTATTCTCCTGAAGCCGACCTTCCAGTGGGAACACAGAAATAGGCAAGTAAGTTAGTACATAAATAAGGTCATTTCAGATAGTATGTATGAAATCAAGTGAGACAGAGCCAAAGCAGGATGATGAGTTTATCATAAATGAAAGGAAAGGGATAGGTCAAGTGCAGCCACATTGGATAGAGCAAACAAGAAAAGCCTTCCTATGAGAGTTCCATCTGAACTGACACCTGAATGTTGAGGTGGTCCCAGCAGGGTACAGATATGGGGGAAAGCATCCCAAATACATGAAACAGCAAACTCAAAATCCAAATGTGAGAAGGCTTAGAACATTTGAAAAAAACAAAAGAGAGGGTAAGAGGAGAAGGAGGACAGTGTATGAGTAAATGTTTTGAGAACTCGCTTGGCCCCATGCTAGAAAGTTCCTGAGTGGTCACTCCCCTTTCAGCCATTTATTCATGTAGGACTGTGCATATGGACATATGAGAGTGTAGAGCAGGGGCCTCTTGGCATCCTCTCACTTGGTACTTGTGGCTGAAGCTGCCCAGTCCTCCTGAAGAACAGTGCGCCATAGTTGGAAAGCTGAGGCCTCCTGAACCACATGGCCCTAGTTGGAGTGATGAACAAGTCACATTGCCTTTTTGTGCCTCAGATTCATCATTTGTGAAATAATGATAGTCCCTGTTTCATAGGATTACTCTGAACACTAACCCAGAGCAGTGCTGTGACAGTGTTTTGTTATTGTTATTATTCTCTTGGATATAAGACAGTACTCTCTTTGCTTTGTTGAAAAGTATGTCCCAGCCCAAAGGCTAGCAGGAGGGCTGGGTATAGTCAAGGACTGCTTCTTTTGTACATACAAGGCTCTGAGTACAGAGTACTGTTCCTCTGTTTCTGCCCCCAAAGTCTTTATTAACAGCCAACCTGTGCCTGCTGTTCTGCTGAACAAGGGCTAGAGATACACGTTAGATATGGCCTGTTCTCTAGGATGCCACAATCTATCCCAGACTTCACAGGGGCTGACAGAGATCAAGAACATACAAACGGTGAACCCAAGTGAATTTCACTAATATAAATACAAGAAAGAGAGGCAGGTTTAAAAGCAGCCTAGTGGGCTGGGCACTTCTTCAGAGAGACAGGTGTAGGAGCTTTGCTACTTTCCCCCCAATTAGTCTGGAAGGCTTTTCTGTTGCTGCTGAAGACCAAGTGAGAAGAAATAGATTTAGGCTGAAAGGCTGAGGTTAGAAAGAAGCAGAAGAGATGTGAGACATGTGTATCTTCACAAAGAAGTGAAGCTTCCTGCTAGGCTGGGCAGCTGTGGAATGCCTAGAGGTGGATCTACGGATGCAGCTCAGAGCACAGTGGGGAGGTATGCATGCTTTGGACTTAATGGAAAGCAGGAAGCAGGTCTGGAGGGATTTAACAGTTGAATGCCTTTCTTGTCTTTCTGGGCCTGGCTTCCCAAGAGCTCTGTTCATGGGAAACAAGAATAACATGGAAGGTTTTAGTCAGTGTGGTGGGTTATTGAAGAGTAGGATAAGGGTTTTTCAGGGTTCAAGAGAACCCATGGCCCCCAAGATGCAATGAGAACCTTGAGAGTTGAGATAAAGCAGGACACTTTAGGACCAAATCATGTCCTTGCTCTTCTAGGCTCTGCAGTTTGAGTTTATATTTCTTTGTGTGCTTACTTCATTAATATTTCTTTCCACAAAGAACAGATCCACACCTAACACTAATGGACCTTGGGCAAAGACTCCAATAGAAGCTCATACAGTAGGACAAAATATTTATAAACAATAAGGCCAAGTAGCAAACTGGTAAATGCAGTTTATTCTATCCTCCTGACTAATGTACCTTCAAACCAACCAGGAAGACGGGTATGAATTTAGAACCTTTAGATTTGTCTGAATTATGGGGGCTAGAGAGATGGCTCAGCAGTTAAGAGCACTGGCTACTCTTGCAGAGGACCTGGGTTCGATTCCCAGTACCCACATGATGGCTAACAATGATGCATAACTCTAGTTCTAGGGAAATCCAACACTCTCTTCAGACCTCTGCGGGCATTACACTTGCATATATGCAGGCAATACACTCATACACTCATACACATTAAATAAATAGATAAATAATAGATTATGCTAGCCAATGGGGATGTCCACAGAGTACTCTAATTCTCTTTCCTCCACTGGCTGCATCATGTACCAAGGGACTGTGGATGCACACACATGGATATTCCGGTTGCCTTTCCAGGTTCTGTCCATACCATTCCCTGAACAGTGGCTCCTTTCCCTATTCCCATGCTCTAGAAGGGACGTTTATAGACCTGAAGAAGAGAATTCTGATGATCCTGGGAGCAGACTTGT